GATCACGTGGTAGATGGTGATTACGTAATTTTGTAACACAGGAAACCCATGTTTGCTTTTTTTTCCTTAAAAAACGCAAAAATTTAAATTTTGAAAATGTACGGTATAATATTGGTGTCCAAAATCATGAAGATATTCAATAACTTGTTATAGTACTAGAAACTAACCTCAGTTTCAAATTCGAGCTTTTCTTCGGCTTACAAAAAACAACAGAAAAAAAAAGAAACCCTGCAAAGTTATCATTTTCAGTTGCCAACTCTCCCAAATTATCCAGGAATCCCAAGATTTTAACCATCTTCCAGATCCGCTGTGTAGACCTGAATCTTGCAAATCATTCAAGTTGACAAACGCTGGTCATTAGCCTTTTTCTCAATAGATACCAAAACTATATGCATGAAGGGCAAAACACTTTTACACCCATTAGTTGTTAACATAATTATGGCTATAGCAGTTGTAAACACCATTTTTAATTCACAGATAACATTTCATGGTCATCTTGACAACATCTTCAGCTCAAGTAGGACTAAATGCAAATACAGTGCAAAAGAAACTTGCAATATGTCTAGTATGAGTGACTAAATAATGAAAAAGAATACAAAAGAGTTAGAGCAAACGCAGGAAAACCATGAAATAAAATCAAACTAAATATTAACAAATAGCGCCTTTTTAGAGACAAATTGTCAGTATCAATGAACCAGAACGCAATAAAGATGAATGAAAAATGGTCCCATGTGGATTCATCTTCATTGTGTTCTGGTTCATTGATACTGATAAACTGCCTGTCCTGCCTCTAAATAGCCACTATTTGTTAGTATTTAGTTTGGTTTTATTTCATGGTTTTCCTGCGTTTGCTCTACTATACAAAAGAAAACATAACATAGAGAGTAAAGTTGAATATCAATCAAAAATTAATCATAAATGTTTATTTCTTCATAAAAGTCCACACAATGTATCATAAAATGATCATACACAATTAAAGATATTGTGGTATACCAAAAAACCAT